GTTGATGATAAATGGATAGTTTTGAAATTCGATCAACATTGATCATTTTCAATTCTTATTTAATTTGAAACAAAGACCAGATGTGATACTTTTTTTTTCCTCCTCCTTTAATAGCCATTCATTTACATAATCTCAGATTACGTCCATAACCGGTCACTAACTTTTAGCCTATATATTTGTTATCAAATATATGAATACATTATTTTCTATCATTTATAGATTACTTACATATTACCTATACATTACTTACATGATAACTTACATTTCATATATGTTTTGTTCTTTTCCCTAGCAACAATTAATGATCAAAATTTTGAAATAAATAAAATTTTTTTTCTAGAATAATTTTAAAGGAGTAGGATAAATTTGGGCAAAGTTAGACAAATGATGTGGTTCAGTAGAAAGTGTGAAGTAGAAAAGGTCTTGAAGCTTTTTTCATATTTGAAGCCAATTTATTCCATTACTTATTAAAAAAAAAAAAAAACTGAACCATCCACCATTTGAATGATATCAAAATGAGGGAATATTAAATTGAAAACACAAATGAAAAAAAAAAGCTCTGCTTGTAGACACATATTAATGATATTATTGTTAAATATGACATGAAAAAATATTAAATGATATAAATTTTAAAAAATTTCGAAAATTCACTGTTTCAATGCTTTAAACTTTTGGCAAAACTTAGCCTTTTTTTTGATTGCTTGCTTAATTAATCGCAATTGTTAGAATTATGTAATTTTTTTTAAGTTAAAAATTTTTTGACTGCAGGAAAAAACCAAAATGTAATTATTTGGTGTAAAATAAAAAAAGAAAAATTGAAATTGAAAAACTGATTGCAAATAGCGATATTATTATTACATGCATAATTTTTGCTTCAAATGTTTATCAACTATATTAAATTAGTAAAATGAATTGGTAATTGCAATTGTAATTTGCCCATTTGTTCTTATCATCATTACACCAATATTATTTCGGCCTAATTAACAGATTATTTTGATCGATGATGAACGAAAATTTTAAAAAATTTGGTTTGAAGCAAAAAATTTGATACGAAAAAAAGGAGGAAGCGAATAAAGAAAAAAATGCAAATTACATTCAATTTTTTTGCATTTTATTTTCGCACCATCAAATATTTGCTTTTGTAAATTTGATGTTAATGAAGCGTTTGATCATCAATTAATATTTGCTCGCTCATTCAATCTGAGAATGTTCTTTGTTTAACAAATATATTGCTTGCATTAAATAAGTCATTTCAAATTTATCTCCAAAATATTCATTTCATAGAGAATTTAATTGAAAATCAAAAAAAAGAGTGTCAAATTTAAAATTGGAGAAATAGGAAGTGTGAGGGGAAAAAATTTTGTCTTTGCACGAAGCCATTTTTTTTTTCCTTATAAGATATTTTAGAAATAAAATTTAATGAGAGGAGAAAAAAGTGAAGAAAAAAACAAAAGAAAACCAGTCATTCTATGGATGGTATTTAAAAAAAAGAAAAAATTAGAGGTCAAAGATCATTTCAAGGTCTATGGCGTTTAGTGAAATTTAAATTTAAAAAAAAACGAAAAAAAATTTTAGTGTTTAAATTGTTTGAAAAGAGTGCAACATCAAATACAATTATAAGTAATTCAAATTTTAATTTTCAGTTAATTAGACATCGAAGATCAAAAGTTAACAATGCTGGCCGAAATAATCGCGAAACTTACAGTAATAACAAATGTTTCTGTCCACCAGGTATATCATTTTTTTTTTTGGTGGATTTTCTAAAACTATATGAACAATACGATTGAATATTAAAAGTTTCGTGAAAAAGTAGCATTCTTTAAAATCTATTTTAAAAAGGTTATTTTTATTTTAAAAAAAAAAGAAATGAGTAAAAAAACATTCGTGAGAATGTAATTACCTTTGCACAAAATTTCACTTTACTCCAAATAATGGGAATTGTTTTCAGAAATTTAATTTAACCGCTACCAA